AAGGGCACGGCTTCGGGAAGGAAGGCCGCGGGCAGAAGGATGTCAGGCAAGGACGAACGAGGTCAACTCTCTCGCGTGGAGAAGAAGAAGAGTTCGGTCGGCTCGAGAACGAGAGAAGTCAACTTTCTCTCGCGTGGAGGAGGAAGAGCTCGCTCGGCTCGAGACCGAGAAAGAGAGAGGCCAGGCGTGCGAACGCGAGAAGGAAGGGAGGCAGAGCTCGGACGCGGAGAGTGGGGAGTTAGGGCTTAAAGAGGAAAAGGGGAAAATAGTTTTATACAAATTAATATATATATATATATATATACATATATATATTAAATTATATGCAATTTACTCGCGCGTGGCGTTGTAACAAAATGGGTGTCCTCCCTAGGCAAAATCGACACTCCGGACGTGCCGGTGCAGTCCATTTTGTCATCCGGGGTCGCTCGGACGACGTCGTCGATAATCGGGTCAAAAACATGTCAAAATTCAAATTTCACAAAATTTCGACCCGCGATTGATCGCTTCAAAAAGTTTACTCGAGCCTTCGACAGGTAACAGTGCAAACGATGCGAATTGTAGCGATCGGACGCGTCGACTCTTCGAATTGCGAAGTTTTGTGCGCTGGAGTGCGAATTGTGCAAAAGACCACTCTAAGGCTCAGGAAGGTTCTATAGGGATCCCTTTTGGGCTTCCTCGTGTTTGTTTCATCCTTCTAAGTGCTGAAAGTCGATACCACACAGGCGAAACTCCAGAAGGGGACAGAAAAAAGTTCAAATTCTAGAACAAGGCGGGTCCCATTTCTAAGGTTCTAAGATAGTCAAAAGGAGGTCCCTAAGGCTAGATCCTAAACCCTAAGAGGAAGAATAGACCTCACCAAAAATGAGGTCAACAGGAAGGTAAAACCACTGATCTTAATCGAGAGTTTTCTTAAGTGACCCCGGTCATTTAAGATGTAATTAACTATAGGGGTCTGCCTCTATATGGAGCTTGAAACCCATGTAAAATAAACTCTATTTTAGGTAGAGGAACTTGTTGGCCTCATATAAAATATTTCGCAGACCAAACGGATGTCACAAATTCTTTAGTTTAGGTGATTAAGCCTACTACATGTGATATTTTTATTTATCGGGATAAGTATATTATTTGTGGTATCGTGCTTAGTCATCCAAACTATCCAAAATGTGAGACTCGTTTGGTCTCATCTATTTTTAAATTAAAATATTACTTTCAAAAATCATATTTACATCAAAACTATTTTTTATATATATTTATAAAAATCATTCCTTTCTTTTGCATGAGCGGATATCTTCCTTTATAAAAATTAAATAACGGCCGACAGACATAAATCCTCCTATCTCTCTCTAGGCTATTTGCATGAGCGGATATCGTGCAAATGTAAGACCTAATTTTAATAATTGGCAGGAGTAAATATTAATAACATCATTTTCAAAACATGAAACCAAACAATAGAATAGCTTGGGAAGTAATCGAAGTTCGCCTCGAAATATGTGACGTCCCCTTTTTTTCACTAGTTCGGACTCCTAAATAATTGTTACTACTTGAGTAAATCCCACTTGTCTTTCCTTGTCCAACATTGAAAACTTAAACGTTGAATTCTTGAAGATAGAATTTCCGATCTTAATCGAGATTTTTCTTAAATGATTTCGATCATTTAAGATGTAATTAACTTTAAAGGTTTGTCTCTATAAAGAACTTGGAACGCAAGTAAAATAAACTCTATCTAATCTTTATATTATGTAGGGAAATTTGTCTGTTACACATAAAAAGTTCGCAGACCAAACAAATATCATAGATTTTTTAAAGTATTAAATATATGAGATATGTTCTGTCTCATATTTTTTTTAAAATTAAAATACTATTTTCAAAAGATTTAAATTACATATTTATATTAAATTAAATTAAAATCATTTTCAAAAGTGGGAGGACCGACTTAAATCAAAATAAAAATTCTTGGCTGATAGTGATCTACAATCCGAGAGATAAATCGACTCTCCACAATCTCTAGACGCCCCTAGGAATAGGAAGACAAAAATATGACGACAATAATTCAGACATGAAAATAAACCCTAGGTGATTATGCCTAATACTCCCCCAAATGTCCCCTAATTCTTCTCATTGCATACGTGATTAGAGGCTTAATTGGCCCCAACCGGGGGCTGGACTCCTCCCAGGCAGAAACTACGGTTTCCGTCCCTTTAGGCTGTGCCGGCTGGCTTGGTTGGGCTGGCTGGTCTGGTGGGGCTGGTCCGGGCTGGTCAGGAGGAACCGACTTAACAATGGTTCTCTTCTGTATAGTTTAGGTATGGGATGCCATTGTAATTTTCTTCTCATAATCTTTTTCCATAAATGCTAAAAGGCTTTTATAATTCCAAAATCGGTGTATTCTGTCCCTTTTGTACATTTTACACATGCCTTTACAAATAACTAAAAACAATTTATCTTATTTAACTGTTGTTGCCTTTGTAAGTTTTGCCCTTCTAATGACTGGGTCAGCAAGCTATGTGTTATTTAAGGCCAAAATCTTTGTTTATTGATTAGATATGCTACTGTGATATTGACTAATTGAAAGTTATTCAGGACACGAGTTCTAACGTCCCTCAGTTACTCGGATCTGATCTCACATTTCAAAGTGCTCAAACTATTCCAATAGCTGGTTCTGCACCTATCAATTCTTTTGCTCTCGCGAAGCCAGCTTCACAATCATCAAGCACTAGTAATTTAGACTGGAACATACAACCAGCATCTTCTGAATTTGAAGTTGCAGATTCTGGCGATTTTTTGAGTGAGATTCCTCTTGCTGTGTCTGTACCGGGTTCAGGATTCCAAGTCGAATCATTAACTAGAAATAGCATAACAGTGCCCATTACGGTCAGGGGCTCTATTTTTCATCCTTACACAACCAGTTCAATGAATTGTGTTAGCTTGAGTGGACCAGTGAATCCTTCTTTCTTGAATCAAGTCACGTCACAGAATCTTATTCTGAACAGCGGACAAAATGTTCTTGAAACTTCCCCTTCTGCAGGTATACTCGAAGGTAATTCCTATTTTGAAGTTTTGTAGTAGAGGATAATGATTGAACAAGAAAATATTGTTTTGGAATTGTAGTATGTTAATATCCATTTATGTTTGCTGAGATAAGCTAGCTTGTTCTGACAGGTTCATTTGGTTTTCAGTTCAACAATGATAATTCCGCGTCAGCACTGTCAGAGTTTTATGATTCAGAACAGAATCTCACTGATACTGAGGAACATAAGCTTTTGTTTCAACCACAGTGTTGTGTTGATGCTGTAGATTCAAGAACAAGAGATTCTGTTGCTCAGAATGATGATAGAATTATGTCTGGATTGCATGACGGTTTTCATGTTCTGCCGGAACCATATTCTCAACCTATTACTGTAGATGACATTATTCAGGTATGTTTCATGCAAACGTCATAGAAGTTTGTTTTCTAATAATTAACTACGTTAGAAATTCTGGTAAATTGTCAGGAGTAAATGCTAATGATTTTAAATTACATTTACTTGAAGCCTTTATGAATGAAAAGTATGCAATGCAAGGGTGAATGAACTTTATTACTTCGAGTGGAAGGGATGATGTTGCATTTTAGGGCTTTCCGATTAATTGAAGCATATGCTATTGAGCACCGACATCTTATTTGATAAAAGTAAATATTGAAATATTCTAATTATGAGGTTGAAGGCATTAATGGAAAAGAACTATTTCAGGGGTAAAAAGCCTAAACATAAATGCACAAAATATGACTTAGGTGACGTAATATATACCTATGCAGAAGCATCTTCAATATTATATGAAATAAAAATCAACCTCTTGTAGCTCATAATTGTTTTAAGTCTGCCACGCAGTTTCATGATCTTAGAAAACATAGATAAGTAGGAAATTTTTACTATGTTTGGAATTCAACATTAAAGCAAGACTTACATGTCTAGTCGATTATCCAAGCTAAATCACAAGAGAGTTGGAGAAGCTAAAATTATAGTGTGTATCTATTCATAGATTTATCTCCAATATGTGAACGTTGGAGAGATTATAGCTATCACCAACAGCTGCATTTTGGCTGTTACTAAGCGTTGGAGGCTTCAGGAATTTTGAATCTTCCTTTGATGTTTACTTCCATATCAATGTTTCTTTTTCATGATGAAATCAGCTTCACAGTGCACATTGGGTGCAAGAAGTTAGAAAATTGAAGTTCATTCTGCATAACAGCTTGGCGTAGCCATAGTTAAAAAGTTGATGTGGTGCGTGCTGGGAAGAAAAAAATCCTCTAAGCTAATAGATTTATACAACCAGATAACAAACAGAAGAAAGTTGATATGTAAGAAAGCCAAATGGGCAATAAGAGTTTGTCATTGTGCTGTGTTACTTTGAAAACCTAATGCAAATTTGTAAACCTAAAGCAACTTTTCTTGCCAAAAAAAACATCGCAAATGGAATAATTAGAGTTCAGAGCAACATAACCTATAATGACAAGCCAAAGGCTGAATAAGAAGTAAAATAGAAGAACAGACTTACGGAGAGAAAACTATGAATTGAAGAATTGAAATTTTTTGTTTTCTTGTTGTGAAATCTGCTGCCAAGAGAACCGTAGGACAACAAAGTAAAACTGTAGTATAGCAAAACGAAAACGGGAAAAGAAGAAAAATCGCAAAGAAAATGCAAACAAGAGCGCCGAGAATTTAGGTGGTTCGGTCCATAGGACCTACATCCACGGGAGGAAATCAAGAAACAATTCACTAAGACAATCCTGAAGATTACACCGCACAAAATCACGGACGAACTAATCTCCTCAAGCTCTCTATCAATCTTGATCTCGATACAAGCTTTTTTGGTTCCAAACTCTCTATCGATCTTGATCTCGATACAAGTTTTCTTGGTTCCTCACCTTGATCTCAGAATTACTCTCTCCTTTAACTTTCTCAACTCCTACATATCATTACATATATATAAACCAATGATCCATACAAGATGACCAGTTAAATACCTTTAAATAGCCAAATGACCGTTGTACCCATTAGCTATTTAAACTTTCTTAGCTTTGTCTTGGTTCGCATAATTGGGAGTCACCATAATAAATCTCCACCTTGACTTCCAATTACAAATCTCTATAATAGATGTTCCCCCCACCTAGCCCCGAGGGGCCTGAGCCGTTGTCTCCCTTGACACTTCCCTTAAAGCTTTGTCACTCAAGCTCAAGATTATTACGCTGTGAGCTCGGTTCAAGATGTTGTTCTTCTCCCTCTCGGGCATTTCAGCCGGCAATGCCGCCGGTCCTTGCAATGCTTCCGCGAGACCTTGCTGCACCAACAAGACTTTCATCTTGACTCTCCACAAGCCAAAATCGTTCTTTCCGGTGAATTTCTCGATGTCGAACTTAGTAGATCCCATTGTTGTGTCTAGAATTCCCACAGACGGCGCCATATGTTGTGAAATTTATTCCCAACAGAACCGCAAGACAGCAAGGGAAAACCGCAGGACAACAAAACGGAAACAGGAAATGAAAGAAAAACTGTAAAAAAATGCAAACAAGAACACCGAGAATTTATGTGGTTCAGTCCATAGGACCTACATCCACAAGAGAAAATCGAGAAACAATTCACTAAGACAAGCTTGAAAATAAGATCTCATTGTCGTGGCTAACATTTCCCACAGACGACACCAATTGTTGTTCTATTGGATCCAAGAAAAATTATTGAAGTGGTTGTTTGGTTGGATATTTTAAAAATAAATGTATTTTAGAAATGTGGAGTAATTGGATGCAAGCGTTTTAGAAATGTATAAGCTGTTACGTTGGATGAAAATCAAATGCATTGAATTTTTTTTATGAGTTTGTCATGATACATTTTAAATGCATTGAAATGCAGTAGATGATAGCAGGCAGTGGACAGGGGTGACGGTGGAGGGTGGTGAGCGAGGGTGGCGGTCTGTGGGCATGCAATGATGATGGTGAAGGGTGGCAGTCAGTGGTGGGGAAGGTGAGGTTGCAGGCTATGAAAATGGGTGTTGGATACATGCAAGTGTGATTGTTACACATAAGAATTCTATTGTGTGTAAGTTTGGCTATCTAAACACATAAGAATTCAAATATATTTATGAAAAATCCGAATGCCTAAGCACGTAAGCAAATAAGAGCTCAATTATATGAAAGTTTTAACTATCTAAACACATACGACTCCAATCTTATTTATGCAAATTTGAAAAACTTAGGCTTGGACATGTAAACACCCAAAATCTGAAATTTAGGCATTTAAATACATAAGAATTTATCTACATGTAAATTCTTTCTCTTTTGTGGAATGAAAAATAACTCCGTCCACAATCAAAACGAGTATTAGAAGAAAGAACTCCTTCATATTTAAAGAATAGCTACTCCATTCATAGGTGAGTAATAGCACAGTACCATTCCCATTTCGTAATGATAATCAAGTCAAGATATGCAAAGAACTTTTTAAAAAATCCATCCACAAAATTTAAGATAAACATACCATAAGATCCAGCTAATCTCAAAAATCCATTAGAGAAAATTTTTCATGGCTTCTAAAAGAAAATTGCAAGCATAACAAGGAAGCCATTGACCTTGTCTTAAACCAGAAAATAAGAGTAGCTAAAGGAAAATCCACAGATCAGCCAAGTGAAGAAAATATGAGAAAGAAATCTCACTTTCCAAATGCTTAGACGGAAGAGGGGAGTTAGAGTTCGGCTGGGGTTGTTTTCTGACGAGGAAGAGTTTCGGCCGGCTAGGAGGAGCACCGTCTAAGGCTTCGGCTGAGCAAGGGAGCAGGTGTCGAGGAAGAGAGGGGGACTGGTGTGGCTTAACTTCGATGGGGGAGAACTAAATGAGGAGCAGAGGAAGCCGTACAGGGGATTTCGAGGTGGGCGTGTGAGAGGAGGAGGCAAGCAGCCCAGCTTTGATCCAGAGCCAGATTTTTTATCTCCCGCCTTTCTAAGAAATAGCTTGGGTCAAATATGAAGATGAGCCTCTCCCAATCAATGCAGAGCTTAATTAGAAGGTAATAATGCCCCGTCGAATTCAAACAATGCGAGATTGGGCGCTTTATTTGAAATTCAAATTTTTTTATTCAAATCGTGATATTTGCGCGTGATCTGGTGTTATTGGCTCGTGTTCAGCCCAAATCAAGCCTGGGACGAGCAAAAATCATCCTTTTTTAATTAATTCAGTATATGCATCGATTTTCATGTCATTTGCTCGTGCGCGGAATCATAGCAATATAAGTGTCTTACCTAGGTAAAATCAATTTTACGGATAGGCTCACACGGTCCATTTTGTTATTCGACATCATCTAGACAAGTCCGTTGACGGTTGGGCCAATCTAAGTTAACATCGTGCGCGGTGTAGTGAATGACCTTCGTCGATCCAACCAGAGCCGTCCGACTAGCAAAATACTGATTAGTCTTGCTTAAGCGACGACCAATGTCAACATGAACGCTCTCTGCAGCGAGCCTCTCGGTTCATGCCGAAGAAACTCAAATTCACGTCGTGAGAGTTTTCAATTTGTTTGAATTTAATTTTTGTGCAAGTTAGTGAATTGTGTGTGAATTATGGTGTATATGTGTGTGAATGTGTAAATTGCAGTGTTCGTGAGTGTTCGAGTCACAAAGGGTTTCCCTAGTGTTGCTCTTATTCTTACAGGAACTCAGTTTGAGTTTCAATATGTTGGTTATAATCGACTTAACGTAATGTCGATGATTCAGAACCGCTCATATGAGACTCAAAGGAGTAAAGAAGTGACTCGAATTTCTAAATGATGTGGGTCTCAGTACTAGTCATCTAAGAGGGTCAAACAAGAAAAATTTAAGGCTAAACCTCAGGCTCTAAGGAGAGAGAAGGAAATACCTCACCAAAAATGAGGTCAACAGTTGTTGCACAACCAGTTTTGCCCCTAAAGTGTCTTGCGTCAGTCTCCCAGAGTTAAGAGAGTTCAACATCATTCATCAAAGCTTCTAGCTCTTTTATTGTAGTTCGAGTAGCACTTGGATCCCATTGGAGATTACACCATCCTCCAAGGTACTTGAGGATTTTTTCTCATTTACGAGCAAACATCCATATCAGTCTAATCATGTGTGAGCTCACTATTGATCTGAATTGGGCTTGCGTGCCATGCAAATATTGTTGAATACTCCCAATGTAACCCAAGGTTGGCCCGACCTAATCTCAAGGTAACCTGAGCCTCAACAAATGGTGGTGGTCATGGCGATAAGGTATCTATCGTGATGTTTTGAAATGCTCTCTATCGTGACTGTCTCATGCCTGGAATCGACCTCTCAGTCCTATCATCCACTATCGTCATCAAAAACTGATTCCACCAACGCTTCTTTGCTAACAAGGGCACCTGTGATCTCGGACTACATAAAAGGTAGAAGTACGGTCGAATTACCCATCATGTTTAGTCCTACGGTCGAATTACCACGGTCTCCCCACAAAGGTGACAGACATCCATGAATACCGTGTTGCATCACATATAATCCTGTAGTTGACATCCAATTAAAGACTCCACCAGGAACCTGTCAATACTGACCTTGTTCTCCTTCAGTCGTGTTTGAGAATACGACTGGGAATGCCTCTGAGTCATTAGACTCAATTTCTCCACCATTTGCGTAGAAGCCACATTCTTGCTGCTTTATCTATTGATGATGAGACTATATATCTTTCTTTTCACTATGCAACAGGTGTAGAATATGTTGCGATGAACTCACTGTTACTTTCTCGGATCTTCAGTTTGCAAGACTCGTCAAACCACAAGCATCTCACCCTCATCTAGTGGAAGATGGTATAACTCACCCTGCTCTTCAGTCCGGTGGAAGATGGTATACTTCACCCTATTCTTCACCTGTTTGCTCATCGCTGACTTCCTCCATTGTCCCCTGCTTTGTAAAGGACTCGACTCGTCAGGCAACTCGAGGTGATGTGCCCAAATTCAGTTTTTTTGAATGGTGGTGATTGCCTGTTCTATTTTTTATGTCTCTCAACTTTTAATACTAAGGTTTAGACATCTTCCAATGACCAATAGGGCTGCAGTTGCACAACTTTGCTGATAGTCAGCTTTAGGCCCCCCCAGATAACGGGCTATGATCTGCTCCGCTGGCTAGACCAACTCAAACTTTATTTACAACTGGTCAAATTATGGCGCGAACTTCTCCATTGATCAGTCTCTTTGCTGCAAATGATGGAGCCTTAAAAACTTATCCCGACGATAATGTGGCGATAGGTATTTTCGCTGCATCTCCTTCATCTTTTCTATGTTAATAATCTTGTCTTTGCACTCTCTCTTTGTCTGTAACTTTTCTCACCATAAGGAAACACTCTTTTTCAACTTGTTGGCTACAAGCTTCACCCTCTTGTCTTTTGTGGACACTTTGTACTCGAAGTTCCTCTTAATTGACTGCAGTCATTCGATAAAACCATCTAGATCCATATTTCCATCGAACTCTGGTAGATCCATCTTGATTTTGAAGTTTCTTTGACCTCCATATGTTGTCTCCTTTGATAATGAATTTCAAACCATCTGGGTCTTTTTTCCTCATCACTGAAGTCATTCCTATGGAAGGGATTTAGGTCATCGTTCATTTCTTCTCTTTGAATCTCCAAATCATGATTGAGGGTGATTTCCCCCTAGGTTCTCTGATCAATCTCCGCCAGTTTCTGCTGAAATCGATGAAGCTCTCATTTTATCTCTTTCCGGATAGGCTCAAGCATGTATCTCCTTGACGACATGGTTAGGGTTTGGGATTTGTGGAAGTGGAGAGGGTACTTGGTGATAAGGAAATAATTTTTTTTTAGTAGAGTTGGTTTGAGTGTGATGGATGCTAGGAAACCCTAGGGTATGACTAGTTTTAGACTGGCACCGATAGCAATTGATACCAGAATTAACCCAAATTGCAATAGAAAGAAATTTAATGCTAAAATTCAAAAGATTGCAACGAAGACTCTTCAAAATAAGAACAAAATGACAGAAACACATGCAAGTTGATAGGGTGAGAATGAGAATGATGGGCTGCCGATAGACAGCGGCTGGAGGAAGGATAAGCTGAACTGCAACAAGCAGGTTGGTTGGTTAAGTGTGGGGCCAGCAAGAAGGTTGGTCGGTTGGGTGTGGGGGCAACAAGCAGGATGGTGGATGGTGGAAGGTGGACAGGGGATTGCGGTAGCAGCAGAAAGGGGAAAAGGGGATTGCGACAGCAACAGTAAGTTGGGAGGGGGTTGTGATAGCAGTAGAAAGGTCTTGGATGGCAGCGGCAAGGGGAAAGACAGGCGTTGGAGACAGCAGGAGGGCTGCAAGCAAACAACTGGATTGCAGCTTCCGATGGTGTGCAAAGGTACGACGACAACGACAAGAGAGGGTAGGTTGCAAAGGATGGGAATGTCTAGGATAATCACCACCTCAGAGCGAGATACCACCGTAGCTCCATTCGTCCTCGGATACAGTCTTAAGAGAGAAAACAAGGGATGTGAATGGCTATCCGGACAGAAAACACATCAAAACAGAACTCTAATGACATAAATAATATATATATATAGTAGATAACTAAGAAATGGAGGGCCTTTCCCTTTCGACGGCAACCCTAGCCTTGAAATAAGAGCTAGCTGGCCCTACAACCCCTTAGCTGAACCGGTCCAGCTGTTCCCCAGCCAGTTAAGCCCTCAAGGATCCCCGTGATAGTGAGTTTCTGTCTTGTTTGTTGTAATTTATCTTTTCAGTGTGTTTGATTGTAACCACACATTTACTTGCGTTAATTATATTTATTTTTCCTATTGTGGTTTGGGTTAACTTTGGTATCAGTCTGAATTGCTAAATGTTTTTGAAATTTAAATATTAGTTGTAATGAGTTATTTAAGCTACTAGAAGTTTATATTTGCATGTCTATGATGGTTTCCTATTTCTAAGGGTGTTATTATCATATTTTAAAGAAATTTTGGAATTTACTTTACTATATTATAATCCTCATTTAGGCGTGCAATGTCACTGCGACTTCTTATGCTAGAATTTATAGCATCGTGACATAAGTGACTTTTGAGTAGAGGTGTAAACGAGTCGATTACTAGCAAGCCCAAGCTCAGCTCGTGTTCGGCTCGTTTATATTTCCAGTTCAAAAAGTGTGTTCGTGTTCGAATCGTCTGTCTAGCGAGTCCAACACGAGATGTTCATGAATAAAGAGCCGTTTTGACAACCCTAATCACGTAGTCATAAGATGTTAAGGGTTGGAGCAAGATTTAAAAATTATTGTTTATATTAAAACATTATTTGAATCTAATTAAATAATTTTCATTCTATTTTCTTAAGCTGTTCAAAATAGTTTTCTTTTTGTGCTTTACACTAGGATTATGTTAAGCACCATAGTTTTTTTTATTAAGAATAGAACCATTTTTCTTCTTGTGCTTGGCATAAGGATGTTAGCATAGGTTGCTAAACTTTTTTTTTGCCTAGAAATAAATCTTTGTTTGGTCATATAAGACTTTTCTTTTTTTTAACAATCATTTTTTAATAAATTAGATAAAGAAAAGAGTACAATAAAGGCATTTAATAATAATGTCATGGTATAATATATATATATATATATATATATTGCCACAAATCTACAACAACTTGATATAATAGGATAATATGACATACAATCATTTGGATTGCTTGCTTGAAGAATAGAGAATATTGATGAATAGCGATAACTCTGATTCCTATGCTTTCTATTATAAAAAAATTGACAACTTTTAGTTATCAACAAGACAACACTCAAAATGCTCCAATCAATATGAGAATCTTGTTGTAGTAAAGTGGTTAAGTTTTGATGTTGGCAGCCTTTGAGCTGCATTGGCTTTTTCCCAGCCCTATCAACTTGTTATTGTGCCATAAAACATTTAAGGGTTTGTTTGGGCCTGCAACTGCGGTTGCAGTAAGAGAGCTGGGAGGTGGCTGGCGACTGTAGGGGAGGGGCTGCGGAGGCTGGAAGATGGAACGGGAGCAGGGAAGAGGATGTATGGCAAGGTAAATGTTTCGTTAGAGTTGAGCTAAAGTAGAGCACCACCTTGTCTCGGATCCTTGCAGACGGTCACAACCTCAGTTGAGGATAACCGGAACACTTCCTTGCCGTCGGATACAACCCTCAAAGGGAACAACGCTGGCGGTGGCAATTTGAATTCAAAAATCAAACAACCATCTAACCTAAGCAAGCAAACACATATAAATAATTTAGGTTAGTTGATAAAAGAGGCAAGAATTGGAGAAGGAAATAAACTACGAAGGTAAGGGATGATACAAACAGGGTTCGTCCCAAGCCAAGTGTAGAATAGGAAAGAAAGGAGAGTGGGATCGAGAAAGGGAGGTAGGCGCCAAATAGGGAAGAGGGGGAGGCGGGATGTGGAAAGGTAAGCCGGTCTATGCTTTGGCCTGTTCAGCCGGCCATGGTCACAATTTTTTTAACTTGCTGATCTTGTCATCAAGGGGAAATTTACAGTGCTACACTGGTACTTCCTTCTAATCGCGAAGAATGACTAAATTGTTTCTAGTGTGTTTTGGAGGCCCTTAGCCCCCAAATCATAGAAATAACTTTTCTACAAATATTGGGGTGAATCTAAATAAATAGGCCTCTATGCAAACCTTCCATTTGTAGGAGCTCCATGCATTATATGCCCCCAATTTTTTCTCTAAATGGTATGATATGCTTTCCAAGTGCTGTAGGACTTAATCTAGTTTTGTTTGTTTCTTGTCTAGTTAGGTGGATCTTAGCATTATATTGTATATTGAAGTACCTGAATCCTAATTAATATCTCCTAAAAAGACAATTAATGGTTAAAACTAATTTGAGTTTTCAAGTATAACAAATGTTAACTTTAAGGGCCTTTTCTTACCTTGAAATGCCGTCATATTTCTATATTTCATTCTCTTCTTTGCAGTGAAGGTTTCAAACTACAACTTTTTTATGTGCAAGCAAACTATATAGGCAAAGTTGACGTCTTAAGATTTATTTATTTATTTACATTTTTTTAACTATGGAGTGCTAACGTGGAAAAAATGCCTCTTTATATTTTAATTTAATACTGTAACCTGATGTATATCATTCAGGTTGAAGAGGGAAATGTTGAAGTTGCTGTTCCTCCTGTGGATGAAGATAGCGTGAATAATGATTGTATTCAAATAGATAACATGCCCCATGAGCATAAATTAGATTTAGCGCCTCAATCTGATTTCAATGAACATGCAGAAGTAGTTCCCTCTGTTTCTTCTTTAGGAACGTATTTATATGATGATGATCCTGTAGACTTGGACAAATTTGACAGCATTGAAAGATGGATGAATAAGGAACTAGGCAGCGACTGTTATAATTCTCTTATAGCTTCAGATTCATGTACTTACTGGAATGCTATTAATTCGCAACATGATAAGGTATTTTCCAGCATGTCTCGACATATTCAGTTGGATGTTGATTTAGTGGCTCCTTCATTATCACAGGTGCAGCTCTTCAGTATTGATGACTTCTCTCCTAATTGGGCTTATGCTGGGGCTGAAACCAAGGTATGTGCCCATACTGGTTGTTTTCTTCTTGCTGGATGATAAACCACAAAGGTCTGTTTTTGTAATTCAGCTATTGGCTTACCAATTATTTCTTATAGCATCTTCTTGATTAACATAACTTTCTACAGGTTCTTATCTCAGGTGCGTTTCTTGGCGGAATACAACCTAGTAATATAAAGTGGTGTTGCATGTTTGGGGAAGTTGAGGTTTTAGCTGAAGTGTTGATGACAAATGCCATCCGTTGTCTAGCCCCTCCTCACAGTCCAGGACGGGTGCCCTTTTACATTACCTGCAGCAATAGGTTAGCATGCAGTGAAGTTAGAGAATTTGAATATAGAGAAAATCCGCCAAACATGCAACAGATGTTGATTGATGATGAACCTGTGTCAGAAGATGAAATTTTCCTTCAAATCCAATTTGCAAAGATGTTATCCATTGGATCAGACGAGAAAAGACTATTATGCTCCATTAAAAATTGTGCCAAGTGCATCATAACAAAAGTTTTGGCTCAGATGTTGATTGATGATGAGCCTGGTTGGGAAAAGATTGAGAAGGAGACCAAAGCATGTCAAGGATATCTCCGGAATCTTAGAAATGGGTTGCTTGAGAAGTTACTGAAAGGAAAACTGTATGAATGGCTAGTTTGCAAATTGCATGAAGATGACAAAGGACCAAATATTCTGGATGACAAAGGCCAAGGAGCTATTCATTTGGCAGCTGCTCTTGGTTATGAGTGGGCAATGGCTCCAATCTTTGCTGCTGGTGTAAATCCAAATTTTAGGGATTTGCATGGAAGGACTGCTCTTCACTGGGCTGCACACTATGGAAGGTTAGAATTCACTCCCCAACTGGTTATACATAATACGTGAGTGTTCAATGAAATTTCTTTCTGATTCTGTCTTATTATGTTTGATATAAAATATATAAATATTTTTTGAAGTAGCTTTAACCAAATGAAAGACATAATAGTTGCTCGTCGGCTTCTTGTTTTCTGCATTTACTGCTTTGATAATAGTTTTTGTGAATTCATTAACTTGCGGACTTATGAGAATGATACATTTTATTAGACACATAAAATTAAGGTTATCAATTGCTTAATTTCGTGCTCTTTTAGTGCTTTTGTGAACATGCCAACTCTACAGTGTTTGATAGCAAAAACGTGAAGTATTATATTAGGAGAACCTAGTCCTGAACTTCCATGGCACCTGCAATACCACCAGTTAGCCAACCTTCTAAAAAACTCTTTGGCTCGATTCTTGATGAGTATGGATTTGAAACCCTTTAAATAGAATGAAGCTGAAATCTTACGGGAGCATTCCTGGTATGAGTGACCTCTCGGGAATTTACAACAATGAGAGAAAATCTCGAGACAATTAGACCAAAGCAGAAAATATCTCTATGGGTGAGAGTCCGGGCTGTTACAGATGATATCATAGCATTACATTAGTTAAAAGATAAAACTAAGTGTCATACATAATAAAGTGCTATACCATGAGATTCATTTTTAGAAGCTTAGATGGGATAAAGTGTTATAGGGCTGGAGTTACCTCTTCTATCTCTAAGAGTCGTCTCTAAAATTCTATGTGCTCGACGAATCATTTTGGGTAAGAAACATTGACAAGAACATCAATTACTATCCAAAGCCACTTGATGAACTCGTCCAGATTCATGTGGTCGTCAAAATGTGGCAAATTACATTTACTTTAAAATTCTGGATTCTCCAATATTTCATGTCAAATCTTTGGGGCAGTGATTCTTCATCTCTGGAATCTATCTGTTGGAAGAGATTCATTGCATTCTTTCGATCTAGCAAGTCACTATTATGACTAATGGCTATGAGTGGAACAAGGTGTACGAGGTCATGTAGGTTGGCAAAGAAAAATTATTGAGTGGACGGTTTGAAAATTTCAGCAAGGGTATGGGGTATTTTGATAATGCTAGGATAGGATTAGGGTTGGACTAGCTTTGATACGAAATGATATGAAAACCCAAACGATGATGTTAGGAATTATAATAGGAAATAATTCATTCCTATAAGAAGTTATGAGAAATAAATTATTTCCTTAAATTAAGGAGATATTTTCTTTCCTATTTTATATTTATTTTCTTGGATTAGGAATTATCTGTTTTTCTATTTTATGTTATTTCTTATATCTCTTAATAATTAATATGAATTGATTATTGGAGATATCAGATGATATATTTTTACTTTCATATCATTTTTTTATTATTATTTTTCCTATTATTGGATTCTTGTAAGATTTATTTATACCCCCGTTCATATCAATAAAACAATTTTGTGTTTTACTTTATTCCGTATTATTCTGAATTTCAACATAGTATCAGAGCAAGGTTTCGTATTCTAGCCACCGGTCTTCCTTTGAGAATTGTCAGACTCCTTTCTTGCCATCCTCTGTGCGGGAAGGGAGGGGCATTCATCTTGGTATTTGAAACAACGATTTTTCTTCTTCTCTCCCCGAATTCTGAAACCCTCGTCGGCTTCGCGGAGGAACCCTCCGGATAGTGCGATACAATCGCAATTGGAGCTAGCTGGAAGTCAACCATGGGATCGCGACGTACGGAGACCACTATAACTCCATCTTCCTCCTTCCACTCCGCTTCGACCCAAAACCATTGAGGAAGTTCCACACGCAGCAGGATGGAGAGATCATCCACTCTCCTCGTCCACTTTGACAAGGGCACCCCGACACTGGCAAACGAGATCAAGCTGGTACTTGAGGGAAAAAATGTCGTCGCCAAGATCGATGCCATGAAAAAGGCTATCATGCTTCTTCTTAACGGCGAGGCCCTTCCGTAGCTTTTCATCACAATCGTCTGCTACGTACTTCCTTCTGAGGATCACACGATCCAACAACTCCTCCTTTACCTCGAGATAATCGAGAAAACCGGCTCCACCGGCTGCGTCCTACCGGAGATGATCCTCATCTGTCAGAACATTGCCAAAAGACAATCACGATTGTTTACTTCTGTGTAAACTCCTCTGCATCATTACATGTAGGAGCTTCAAGTTAACTTACAAACGCTGCATGAACTACCAGTCAAAGTTGTCTATTTCCCTACATATTCTCTGCAGCATTACTAATAGGACTTTTCCGTTTACCTACATACATTGCAAGAACTGCAATCACTACTGTTTACTTACCTGCAAACTCCCTTGCAACATTATCTGTAGGAACCTTCTGTCTACCTACAGACACTGCAGTAACTGCAACAAAAAACAATTGCACTACATGATAAAGACTTCAAGTTCTACTTCATGGGATCTTCCTCGCTTATTGTTTGATGATTGTTTGATGTTGTTTGATGTTTTCAAATTCAAGTTGAACGTGGTTTTCAACCATATTTCAACTTAAGGGAGAGTGTTAAGAATTATAATAAGAAATAATTTATTCCTGTAAGAAGTTGAGGAATAAATTATTTCCTTAGATTGAGGAGATATTTTATTTCCTATGTTATATTTATTTCCTTGAATTAGGAATTATCTGTTTTCCTATTTTATGTTATTTTTCATATCTCATAATAATTAATATGAATTGATTATTAGAGATATCATGTGATATATCTTTCCTTTCATATCATTTTCTTTTTATTATTTTTCTTATTATAGGATTCTAGTAAGGGTTATTTATATTCCAGTTCATATCAATGTAACAATTTTGTATTCCACTTTATTTCACATTATTCTGAATTTTAACAGATGCATGAACACAAAAATATTATTGCTGAATTCTTAATAAAAAAATGCAATTGCACAAACAGAACTAGAAATAACAACAGTTATGACACAAACACAACTAGAGTCGTATCTCTAAGGGGATAGTGGTCAGTTAGGGGGGATGAAGAGATGCTAGATGGCTGCGGTTGGTGGCAGGAAGGTGGAAGGAATGCTGTGGCTAGAAGAAAGAGGGGACATCAGGTGTGGTTGCGGAATGTCTGTCCAGTGGAAGTGGCAGTAAGGTAGCTGGGTGCAGTGTTGAGCCGTATGGAAAGGGTAAAGTGCAGCTGGGATGGTGATGGCAGGGTTGTGGTAGGTTTGCAGGTGGGAGATAAGAGGGGTTGCTGGCGTTGGATGGCAAGTTGGAAGGGAGGCGGCTGTAGGAAACAACAAGTATGCTGTCTAGTGGGTGTTGTAGGGGCTGAGGACTGCTGCAGTGGATGGAAGGATGCGAAGGACAGGAAAATAGAAGATAATCACCTCCTCATAATCACCTCCTCAAAATGAGATACAAACGGAGCACCACTCGTCTTTGGACATAGATCTAGAAGGGAAAACTGGAGATGCCGATGGCTCTCCCAATGGAAAACATACGAAAAAGACCCCTAAAACACCATAACAGCTAATTATATAGACCTAGGGCAAAAAAGAGTGGCCCCACTCCAAATAGGAAGGAAGTCCCTGCCTGAAAGTACTGGCCAGTTCCTCCTCTGCCTGGACCCAACCGGTCCAAGGCAAGGGGAGGCGGCAATTTGCCGCGCCTAGGCCTTGGACACCCGCATCACTTTGCATTTTGAAATCACAATGATTTTCTCATGCAATTGGAGACATACGTGGAGCAAAATTTTGATGTATTGATTAATGATTTTCAAGTGAAAATTTGAAGATTACAAAATCAAAATCTTAACGGGAGGAGAATTGATGCTGTTCTTCCTGGGAATAAAGTTTAACTTAGGCTGCATTTTCATTACCAAAAAATTAAAATAAAAGAAAGATTAAAAGAAAGAAATAGTTGATTTTGCATTTTGTTGATGTATAGAGTTTGCAAGGCGTGCTTTGTCAGTATTGAGACGTGCTGTGGTAACTTTCATGTTACATAAATTCTAAAACAAAAGCTGAGCGTAGACTGGTGTTGAATTACCAACAAATTAGAAGTGATGGCACATGATAATTTAGGGCCTGTTTGGCGCAGCTGCAGCTGCACTGCCCCAAGAAACAGCTGTGGGGGAGCTGGCTATCTGTTTGGTTCAGCTGCGGGACAGTTTTTTTCCGTAAAAATGACTATTTTGCCCAATTCAATAAACCTGTGTAAAACATAATATAAAATAATATCTTTAGTAAAAAAAAAATATTTATAAATAAATTAATTAATCATTAAATATTAATATATAAATCCATCTAATTATAATTAAATTAAAAATATATGAATTTTAATCATTATTTATTAATAACTTAACAAAATTAACAAAATTAAAATCGCAATCCCTCCATCCCGATTTTGCTCAGAATCATGGCCTTCGGTAGCGATGAAGCAGAATTTGGCTCTTCGGTCGAAGGTGGAAGAAGGAGTCAATGGCTTTGGCTCTTCAGTCGAAGGTGGAAGGAGTCGCGCAGTGTGGCACTGTGCTTCGGGAGAGATCGAGAGAAGAGGACGGACGGGTAGGGTAGGGATCGGCTTCGCTAGGCGGGGCAGAAGGGCAGAGATCCGCTTCGCGAGGCGGGGGAGACGAGGATCTAGGGCAGAGATCGGCTTCGCGAGACGGGGCAGAAGAGGAAACATTGCCCTTAACGCGGGTCGCGCGGGGTCGATCCCGCTGCCGGCTTTTCGCCAAATTCACGGCCCGCGGCCAAATTCGTGGCCCGCGGCGAGCGGGACGCCGAAACAAACGAAAAAATTGCTTGTGAATTCGCGGCACAGTGCAGCGCCACAGGGATACCGCCGAACCAAACAGGCCCTTATTTGTGAGGCGGATGGTTGGTTCAACTTGGGTTCGGGGGAATTTATTGGTTCATGGTTGTCTGTAGATTCCTTGTTTGTTAGATGCAGCAAAATAAAAAGGATGCGAGCGGGACGCCGAAACAAACGAAAAAATTGCTCGCAAATTCGCGGCACGGGCAGCGCCGCAGGGATACCGCCGAACCAAACATGTTCTTGATATCCCTTCAACTTGGGTTCGGGGGAATTTATTGGTTCATGGTTGTCTGTAGATTCCTTGTTTGTTAGATGCAGCAAAATAAAAAGGATGATTTACATAAATACCACTTAATTCCTATGTATTTACATATCTAACACCTGGCAAAAGGTTGGTACTTTTTACCTTAAGTCATGTGACTTATGCTGAATCCGTTACAAAAATATATTTATGAATATTCTTAATATTGAAAAGATTGCTGATTTAACAGTTCAGCTTACAAGTGATCATTTCTTTAGCTTATTTTCAAATTTTAATTAAACAATAGTATTATTCAGTATTTTCTGTATCAGTTCAACAATGATCTTATGCTGTGTCAACTTTATTTACATCTTGATTTTGTTTATTAATATTGAAAATAAAATTTAATTTTGACTTGTCATAATTGATTGGTCAGGGAACAGACAATTGTTACCCTTCTAAAGCTCGGTGCTTCCCCTGGAGCCATTGAAGATCCGACATCTAAATTTCCTGTAGGACAAACAGCTGCTGATTTAGCTTCAAGCAGGGGGCATAAAGGAATTGCTGCGTACTTGGCGGAAGCAGATTTGACTAGCCATCTAAACTCAATGTCCATAGCAGAAAATGTGATGGGTAGTGTTTCTGCAAGTCTTGCTGCAGAAGAAGCTGTTGAAAATGTAGAAGAAGAAAATATATTTTCTTCTGTTGTTGAAACCGGACAGATTTCACTGAGAGAATCGCTTGCCGCTGTTAGGAATTCTGCTCAAGCTGCAGCACGAATTTATGCTGCCTTCAGGGCTCAATCATTCCGCCACCGACAGTTGACAAGAAATACAGAACATGCTGATAATGCTTGTGAAGTTCTGTTGCACTCTTCTCCAAATAATAATGTTCACAAGATTGGTCGCTTTAATGAGTATTTACATGCTTCTGCTATTAAAATACAGCAAAAGTATCGGGGATGGAAGAGGCGCAAGGAATTTCTGAAAATCCGGAACAGAATTGTGAAAATACAGGTATGTTGGATAATTTAATTTGCTTAATAATTTTTTGAATGCGTTTTGAAGCTATCCCTATTAGAGATACATTTATAATTGAATCAATCTTTCTTTTTCTAGTTAAAGACTATTTTCAAGAGGGGTCGCTCTTCTTTGGCAGCCCTGAACTAAAAGCTTGCGATATTCTTCTTGTGAAAATATCAATAAATTTTGTATTAATTATTTCTTTACATTTTTGCCCTCTTGATATACCACAAAAAATTCATCAAATCAAAAACAAAATTTGATACCAATTTAAGATCTCAAAGCACTCAAGCATGTGGGCCCATAACTTCAAACATTAATTCAAAGATCATTTGAACTCCTTTTTTTTTTCTTTTTTTTCTTTTTTTTTTTGCAAGCTTATATTCGGAATAATGTGATTTAGCTAGATGAACCTAATGGTTCAAGAAACCCTTGATTCGAGTCTAGCTAAGCCTAAGTTAAGCACTTCGTGTTTTTTGACTTCCAGGGTGACACTTCGGCAAGATCCCAACAATGTGACGCTCCCAGCGTCATCTACTATTGTGCTGTCGGATTCGGTTATGTATGGCTTCATTTGTGCAAGCCGCATGCTTGATCTTTCTTATTTTGTTCTAGATTTACCTTTGATATGTGCCATCGTTGTTCGATCATGTATTTTCTAATGATCTTCCATGGCTCGTTTGTGGCTACATTCACACGCAGATTTTCCTAAGCATGCAAGCCTACTCACTTGCGAGAATTAGCCATTGTTTCAGTGCGACCTTTTTGCCGATGGCCAAGACATTGTTGTGTTCTACATCACCCCTTCGCAACTGCTTTGGTGTGGGACCTTTGCAGGATATTCGGCTTTGTTGACACTGACGCCCCCTCATGGCACTAGCATCAGCATATTTGCTGACCTCTTTTGCCATGACAGTTAGTTATGTCATGTTGTCATCGTTAAAGTCATTGGTGATTGGTTTCTTGTCCTCTCTGATGTTCAAGATTGTGCATCGCTTACGTTCATATCTACTAGGGGATCTTTACTTTGTTGTTCATCAGAGCATCTCCGTATCCCAAGTCCTCATATATCAACTTCTTCTAGGACCTTAGTTGACACAACCCCTCTTCCCGAAGGAGGTTCTTCTCTTCTAGGGCTCATACTTCTACCTAGTTTTTAAGCCTTCCCCGTCTCCACCTGCATACTCCTTCGTGATGTTAGTGGATATTTTTCCTACCCAATCAATTATCCTCCACTATTCCTTTATCATACTTTCTAAAATCTTCAATATAAATAGTTCCAAGAGAAGCATGCTCTTCTATTTTTTTATGAGGAGATTTCAGTGCTTGTCATGCTTCTTAACCTCTCACTTATTAGCAAATTCTCTGAGTCATCCTAGCATGGAGTTAATTCGTAAATCTGTGTTGGATCTAAAGCTATTAGGTTCCTATCTATGATGCATTGATACGAACATGGGGATACAAACATGATATTACGTGGCATAATAATATATATAATTATGATGATCATAATAATAATTTGTAAATAATATGTAGTTTGCATAAATTGGATAAATATTATAAGGATGAAAATATAATGATATTTAAGAATAAATAAAAAAAGATTCTAATATTATGAGGATGAAAACGTAATGATATTTAAGATTGAAAAAGACATATGATTATCATATTACTCATAATCCAAAAGGTAAAAGAAAACTAAAAAATATAAAAAATAATAAATAATCAAATTTAACAAAAATTAAAGCAATATGATCATCAATAATTTTTTAGAATGTTGCATACAAAAAATAAATCTTAGTTATTTGATTTAACAAAAACTAAATAAATATGTTATTCAATATTTTTTAGAATATTACATGCAAAAAATAAATCAGTTATTCGGTGCAACATATATCATTAAAAACTAATATTTATTATACATTTTATTACTATTTATAAAACCTAAACGCAATTTTTAAGAACATGCATATTCGAATTTTTTTTTTATTTTTAGTTAGACGTGTGATAGGCATGTTCAACATGTGTATGCGCCTAGTGAAATATCAGTTTGGCTCATTCACCTTCGACGTGTCATCATAAATCTCTCATTAGGAGCAGATTTCATAAGATAATTTTTTTGGTAATCCTAGCATATTAATCGGTTCTCAATGCATATGCTAAAATGATATCCCTATTTTGATTGTTCCGTGGAGTCTCCATTAACTCTTCATTCTTATCTTTAAAAAACCTTTATGGATGGATGGTACAACCACTTATTTTCTAAGGCTATTTGTGGCCAGAGTTTGGGTGAAATTGAACGTCGCTGCACTTTTTCATGAAGAGATCAACCAAATTTTTGCAGAAAGTAGAATGTGAAAATATGCCATCATGTTGCTCCTTTTGATAGATTTTTAGGCAAATTCTTTTGAATGTTTTAAGGCTCATCCAAAGCTTAAAAATCATCTATTTAAGTTGTGAGACATTGCACAATAGGACCGCTTGATGGAAAATCATCTTTCTATTGTTCAAATCTATTCTCAAAATTTGGATCTTGATTCAGCTCCTCTTCAAGAGAGAGTGGTTGATGCTTCTGCTTATCCTAGCCCCTTGGTGTTAAGTACGTAATCTACTACTAATACTATCACTTGACAATTCTATACAAGTTTATGAAGCAGCTCAACCTTCATTTTTGATGAAGAAAATGATGAATATTTCTCACAATTTGGTTCTGATTTTAATTACAACATTAAAAATGCTGACTCACTAATGGATACAATATTTATTGTATTTTATACTCTAAGGGGTAGAAATCAGGAGAAAATTTATCGCCGCTCTTCTATCTCGACTAGTCTCCATGTAAAATGATCCAGATGAAATTATTTTATCTTTTCGTTTGCCTGGTCATACTTATCTTTTTGCTCTAGCATTTCTTATTAAATACCTTTGATATACTCATATTATTATTTAGTTAATATATTTGTCTTAGAAAAAATTGTTAAGCAATTAGAAGCATTACTAAAAACTTTTCATGGCCATTTAGAAGGTCTAACTTATCATTGCAATTTTAGGAATTAATAAAGTCTTGTGATATGATTATTTTGAAAATATCAATAAATCCATATTAATTTTTACTTTTGTGATATGTTCTATTTTTAAAGGAAATGATTAGAATGTTTTCTTCAAGAATAAGTATAAATTAGTCATGATTCTTTCACTTAAGGACCCGTTTGGGGCAGCTTATAAGTGCAAATGCAGCCTCACCATTTGGAAAACATGTTTCGGCAGCTTATACAAAAACGCAGTTTGGCTTTCACACTAAAAGCAGACCGTTGGCCGAACCCCGCGAGCCACATTTCAGGATAAGCACAAGCTGCCCCAAACGCACCATAAGATGAACCCTAGGTGAAAAGAATTATCGAATGAGGAATTTCACTTGTCTATTCATCTCCTTTGCCTTTTCTAACACACAACCTTCCGTCCAATCAGAGGGCAAGCATGCTAACCACCTTCTAGCACTTGATTTCTAACATTGGCCCGTCGACGAGCGCTAACGATTTCTATTGCCCTCCGTCTCCTTTTGCCCAATAACATCGATAATCATCAACATCCATCATTTTGCCACCGTCATTAATACACCTTAAAATTATCTGTTTTAAATATACATTTAATGCTCATTTTTTGTACATTTTTTTATGATATTGCGCTTTAATGAAAGATATTTTGCATGTTTTTTGTTCTAGTTATAAGAAATGAATTTTTGGAGAAAATGAAACAAAAAGGGTGCAATTTTGAGCCAAATCGAGCAAGAAAAAAAAATTTGATGTGGCGCATTTTGTTGGAGCAACATTAGAGCTGAAACGGGGGGAAACAAAGCGAATTGGAGCCGCCTCAACTTTTGAACTGGCGTCATAGCGCCCAAACTAGTGTCATCACGTGAGTCGCGTCGATAAACGGACGTCATAGCGCCGATTTTGGAATCATAGCGCTAGTAATCGTTTCGGACGGTTATTGCTAGTTTTTGGGAGTTTTTAAGCATGATTTGGCACTTGGGAATGCACATTTTGGCATTTCAAACTCTTGAAATCTCCAAGAACGTCTAGAGGTCGTAGATAGGAGTAGGAAATTTAGATTTATACCTTTTATGAAGAGATTTGTGAGGAATTTTGAGAGATATCTATAAGGAATTGTATGAGCATTGTGTGGATCAGTAGAAGACTTCGTTGGAGGGATTTTCATCTTTCTTTAAGAGAGAAAAAACTAAGTATTGTGTTTTTCATTATCTTATAATTGTTGTAAACGCTTTTCTAGTGATATTGTTTTGATTTAAACGAAGTTTTTGTTGTGTTTTCTTCATGCTTTGTAAATAGTTTTCCTTACTCTTTCTCCTTGTGATGAGAGTTAATCATGTGTGGGATTAGAATGGTTTGAAAATTTCTTTTATTCTAAAATTGTGATGGTATTTTCACCGATTCTTAATTTAATTTTCAAACTGATCACTTGTAATGTTAAAATCTATTGTGAAACATAAAGGCTCGGGAGGGCTATGATTTCACCCAACTAATGAGTACCACATTAACCTTACAAGGAGAGGAATCACAATCTTAAGAGAGTACAAATAGATGGGGAGATAAGTCTTTATGGACATAGAATTGGTGTTTCTAGGGTGACAGGCTAGATCCTTTACCAATTTGGTCTAAAGTTAGAATTAAGGGTCCCTGGTAGGTTCTATAGAGAGGGCCCAGTGGGTAATCTAGAAGTAGCAGGCTACAATCTACCCAACACTACCACACAAGCTGGAACTTACTTTAGATCAGTCAATGTTCTTTATGCACTCGAAAGTGGTCAAAGAAGCACTTATGCTCCTATTTGTCGCAATACAACATTTTAAACTTTAAACGTTTGTTTTCTACACTGATTATAATCTCATCGTAAGGAGAAAGAGATTTTAATCATATAAAAAAATTTTAAATTTTTAACCAACCTTCTCAGATTAGGTTTTTATTTAATTTAGTTAACTTTAATTTTAAAGTAAACCAGTAAATTTAAAAAAAAAACAAACTTTTTGAAAATTTTAAACTAAGACTTGTAATAGTAGACTAGAATTAACCTAACAGAATAGTTTAATGCATTTGAAAGTTGTAGCTACTTTTGGAGTTGTCAAGCCAACTTAGAATTGTTCAACTACTCTGTTCTCGTGTAAGTTCTACTCTTATGAATTTAAATTAGTATCATGATATGCATCTCCTCAACATTAGTTTATTAGATGTGTGGTGTTTGCTTGTAATCATCTTTGTAATGCTGGCTTTAAGAAATTCTCTTCATTGCCGAGGAAGACACCGCATTTCAACTCTCATACTTAATGGATTAGGAGTTCTATTTCTCAACTGTTTTGTGAATGCTTAGAAATATATGAGGTGAAAAGTTGTTGCAATCGATATTTTTTTTTTTCATTTCTCAAATTTCCTTCCCGTAGATGACATGCTTTATAGTTATTTCTTTGGTGGTGGCTTGATTTTCAATTGATTTATTCTAAAATTACTCATCATAGCATGCATAGTATTGCTTATGAAAACAATTTTTTTTTATCCGAGGACTTGCAGATGTGTTAGTTTCTAATATTTGGCCAGGGAGAATTACCGGAGGCTAATCTAAAGTTGAGAGAAAATATATGAGCAGGGTAACATATTTTAGCAGGTAAAAACTAGTGAATTGGGATGAAAAGAGCAAAGCAATCCATTTGTATTGATTTGTATGTCATATGTTTACTATGCAGTTTAGTGAGGAAAGAGTTCGTAATTCCATTTCAACTGTTAGCAGATTCAGTAGTTCAAGATGTTTGTTGGCGATTTATTTCACTTTTCTCAATATGCAGTTTATAAATAAAACAGTCTTTTCTGCCTGTCATTTTTTGTTCCTTTGAATGAGATGTATTGCCATATAAAATTGATACATCCCTGAAACATACTCTTGATCAAACATGAATCTCGTTGCATCTTGAGCTTAGAAGCTTTCAAAATCAACTTTAAGAAGCATGGATACTTAGATTTCAAGAAACTTGTATTTGAATTGAGTGTCTTGACTTGTAGGATCCAATGAGCTTAAGATCGCTTAATTTTGATATCATTAAGTCATTCAAATTCTCAAAATATATTATGTGAGCAAGAAGATCACATTGGGTCGATGGACTACTTTGAATTTGGGTATTAATTATGAAGAATGTCTCACACAATTGTTGATATTTCATCGCCACAGTCGGGTTGTTATCACTTTTCCAATATTTTATATTCTTCTAACAAAAGTCTAGGTGGAACCCTCACTCTTATAATATTTCTCCTACTCAAGAAATGGGTGAAGTCTTGTAATTTACATTTACTTGGTGGAATCATTTTCAACTTGGGTCAATCCCAGTGATTTTCCTCTTTTGGGTTTTTCACAAAAAATCTAGCGCAGACTCTTATACTTGTTATTTTTTCTATTTGCGTGAGTTCTTCATGCAAAATTAAAAAATGATAAACGCTCGTATTCCACCAGTGTAATTTCTCATGCACAACAAACATAACTTATGATCTTTCTATTGTTTGGTAAAATCAGACTTTCTACCAGTATTCCTGTTTCACTGAATGAGATTAATTTTCATACATCATAATTTATTATGATTTATCTATTGTTTGTGACATTTTATCGCTTTGTTTGTTCAGGCACATGTAAGGGGGCATCAAGTTCGTAAGCAATATAAACAGTTTGTTTGGTCCGTTGGGATTGTAGAGAAGGCAATATTACGCTGGAGGCGTAAACGTTCCGGTCTGCGTGGTTTTCGTGCTGAGAATGCAATCCGCGGCGGTGCCGATCCGGCGGTTGACAAGGTAGATGAGTATGATTTTCTTCATGTCGGCCGGAAACAGAAAGCTGCTTGTCTTGAGAAAGCCTTACAGAGAGTCAAATCCATGGTTCTTTACCCAGAAGCTCGAGAGCAATATAGGAGATTGTTGGCAAGTTCAAGAGATTCAAAGGTAAACTTCAAGAGATTCAAAAGTAAACCTCAAAATTTCTTTGAATTTTAATTGGAAGATTTACATATCTAACACTTAAACTTAATTTTTTACATATATATATGCCACCTTATCTATGGATGAAAAAGGTTTACTTCAATTTTTATAACTTAAAATAGTGATGGGTGTAAATATAAAAAAAGTGTAAGTTTAGGTGTTAGAATTGGGTCGTACGAATGTAAAAACACAAATGTTGGGGGCAATTACATACAGCCCCCCCCCCCCCCCCCCCCCCCCACACCCACACA